AAAATGCCTGAAAGATCTCCTTCACAAAGTGTTGTCGCTGGATAAGCTAGATGACCAATTCAACAACGTTCTTACAAAAAAAATCTTTGCCACCTGGACTCCATTCCTCTTGACTGGACTGTCTCCTGGCCAATTAAAAGATGTGATGTTATTATTCCAGGATACGGAGTGCTACCTCACTTCGAAAATAGCTGGATCTCTGGGTGCCTTTGTTCTTTGAAGTTCCAATAAATTGATCTCACTTGCACTGACCCTTTCTGCAGCTCTCCTAGTCCTTGTTTTTTTTTTTTTCTTCTTCTTTATCTTCAGAATTTACCAATTGTGAGGTTTATTGGTTATGACTGTTATTATTTCATTTTTGTTATTAAACATATTTTCGAAACTGACTTAATTGGCAAATGACATAATTGTTCACTAAGTTTTCAATAAAGATTACATGCTTAAAAAAAAAAAAGCTCTTCTTCATCAGCGCTGAGAAAGAGTAGAACTGAACTCTGGACTGAAAAGATAAATGACTATAGATAGGAATTCTCATATAAGGTTAAACTGACTTCTGTTCCAGCTCTCAGATAGGCAGCCTGACTGTATCATAGGCCAGATGAAGGGGTCCCTTTGGAACCCCTGAAATGCATTAGCTGCTTTTGTTTGAATGTAATAAGTAATAAAATTAATATGAATACACATCAGGGGATTACTACATTAATCCTGTATTCTTCTACTAAAAATGTGATAGGTTGAAACAAAAAAAAGGTTTTGCAACACATAAACTTGTAGTGAAATGTATCCTTTTTAATAATTGACATACAACTAAAGGCTGCTGTATGACAGTCTAAACAAATACCAACTCCATCATGGAATTTCAAAGTTTACACCACTCAATCCCCAAAGTCGGACAACACCGACCCAACCAGTCACATCAATCAGGTGCAGGCTCTAAACATACATGCTGGCGTAACAAAATCCTGAAATTCCAACGTAGAGCCACAAATCTGACAGTTCAAAAAAAAATCTGATTTATAGAGACATTAATATGATTAAAAGAGAACTCTGGGATAACCTTGTTTTCCCATAGTTCTCTTTAGGGTCACGGAAAGACATATACTAACGTCGTCCTGTATATAAGTATTAAGTATATAACAGCTATTGCCTGCCATATGCTGAGAGCGCCGTAGCCAGGACGAATCCCGACAATACTGTTGAGATCCACCCCACTGGCTGATTGACAGCGGGCTCTGCCTATCTAGAGGCAGAGCTAGCTGTGCCCTTCCCATCCGTTCATCCAGTCAGCACTGGTGGGTCAGAGAGGGGAGGGCTTGGGGATCATCAGAGAGGGGAGGGGTGGGGGGGATCCCTGCAGGGAGAGATTTCTGACAGCCACCGCTCTCTGCAGGGAGATGATCAGGAAGTGAGCGAGCGATGGTATGTTTTTGCTCACTTCCCGATCAATAGAACCGACATGCAACAGTTTTGCACGCCGGCTCTAACTATAGTGATGAGTGTAATCCACTCACCCCATAGTTCTCCTTTAAGCATATCTGGTGGAACGCGTGAGAGGCTATAGAATTGGTGTGGGATGATTTTACTGTGTACTTGGATGGTATGAACTCAATAAATCTGATTTTTTTTTAATGACCTGTCGGATGTGCTGGCTCTACATTGGAATTTCAAAATTCCAAATCCAGTTACTATGTGATACATGAGCTTCATAAAGTAAACAAAGCACTTCCTTTACCTTCCCTGACTGAGCCAAATCCTCATTTATTTATGCTTCACACACTCCCCCTCCCTGACACTGCAGCTCACAACGAGAGGTTTTTGCAAATGAGGCTGTGCTGTCATCCAGAAAGCAGTGGGCAGGACTAGGTCAGATACAGATCAGATACAAGCTACAGGCTTGTGAATCAGCAGTGACAAAGCTGATAGCAATGCTCCCTGCAACATTTTTAAATTCCACTGTAAGTGCAAGTAGACACAACCTACAAGACAGTGGCAATTCTGAATTCATGAGCAGTACAGCATTATTGACACCCTATCACAAGAACTGCATTGGGCGGACTACACTGGCAGGATCAACAGGTACTTGTGGGACTCTGCGGCAGGGCTGCAGTCCTCCAGTCCATATTTTATTTTTGAATGGGATGCCTGAGTTCTACTTTAAACAGTAGGTCCAATAACAGGGACATCTTAAGGATGAAAAAAGGATTCAGTTCTAAAAGATGGACCTAACCTGTGACCTTTGGGATGACACCTCAGTCTTTTTCAGTGATGTAGTTAATCAGGTTGAAAAAAGAGACACGTCCATTGACTTCAACCAGGAGTGTATGTGCAGCTGGAGCCAGAGGGAAAAGGAAACTGTTGCTTTGCACTGCATGCAGATAAATACATATAAGGCTTTTGTTTTATCTACCAAATAATTTGTTTATCTCTTTATCCATTCTTGAGATGTTTACAGCTCTGCTGCACAGCACAATCCTGTCTGGCAGGGCAAGAGACCTGATTTTTCTTTGTTGCAGTTAACAGGTGTTGCCCAGCCTCTGATGGGATAGCAAAAGGAGAAGCAGCATACTAATGAGCTCATCTCTCCGTCACTTTGCTCTCTCCTCCAATGTTTCTTCTTAACATATTAGCCACATTGCGTGCAGTAAAACTCATTGGCTCCCAGTGCTGTCTTTCCCCTACTAGTCTGAGCTTTGCTGTACAAGGGATTGTGAGAAAGTCAAATTCAGTCAAATTACACTGCCTGCATTTACATAAATACATTGAAAAAATAGGTGCCCTTATTTTTTTTTTTAGCATCCTTCTCTGACCTTACAGATCCCACTCGCCCCTTCACAGACATATACTTACTAAATGCAAAGCATGCAGCCTCCCTGGTTTGATGACATCCAATGCCGCAAGTCCTTTCTCTCCTGCCCACACCTGCATGGTTTAAGCCCATAGAAGTCTAAAGCTGGCCATACACCTATTGATTATTGTTTGATTTCTTTTGTGCCCTCTTAGAACCGTCGTTCAATTTCCACTCAAATACCCCATCTCAAAATTGTTGGGTTCCCATCAACTGATCGATTATCGTTCGAAAGACCATTCATGGACAATTTCCTAACGAATCGATAGGTGTATAGGCACCTTAAGGAGCTCATCTCCCTACCTGGAATGGGAGGATGAAAAGAATAAAGTCCATGGCACTCTACTGCACACGGCACCACCACCACCACATGACCCAAAGAGATGCCGCCTAAAGCAACAGCTTCAGTCTGCCTCATTATAAGGATTGATTCTGCCCTGCTGGCACCTCCTGGTTTGACAAAAGTCGATTTTTTAAGTGACTTTTTACAAAGCAGCCGAGTGGAAAATTGCTAGACAACAGGTGACTGCTGTCAATCGACTGCAGTCACTGTACTGGTATTCTCACAGAGGTGGGTGCCGGCTGTCAGAAAACAATAGCGGGCAGAGGAGATTCATCCATCCACACTCTTTGCTGCGGATAGGGGAATCCAGTAACTTGTCACATGCATGCAGATCAAAAGTTCATGCCTGCATGCTTGTTCAAGGTCCAGGACTCCAGTGTGGGCGAATGAGAGTCAAGCATTTAGCATTTTCATAAGCAGTGATCAGCAATGGCTGCCTACATATTGCTCTCATGACAGGTCTCCTTTAAGCAGTAATTTGTACCTAAAGCATCCAAAGAGTTTGCAAGCAGAAATACAAGAATTAATAAATAATATTATCAATTATATTATTAAGTCAATTATAATATTAGTATTATTAAATCAATTACCCCAATAACACCTCTGATCCCATAGCCTAAAACTGGCCATACACTGCTGGACCTTTGGTTGATTTCTGCTGAATCAGCTAAAATTTGAGCCGTGGGTAGCCCTGCCGACACCCTCTTGATTGGCAAATGTGATTTTTTTTTCAATCAACATCTCAATGAAATTCTCTGCTGAACGGCGCCTGTATCCAATCAGATGTCATTTTATTAGTTGTGGGTTTTTTCTTCTTTTTTAAAAATATTTATTTTTCATTTCTCCTCCATGTAACCCTGTATATAAATATTTGTGTTTTGGAATAACTTTTAGAAATGTATAAAGCCTGATGAAAGCATCTAAGCAATTCCAAAAGCTTGCATCTGTAATAAAGGGTAAACTTTCTGCACTTGTTGATGGCTAACAGGGTACACTACTCTACTGCTGCTAAATAAAAATCTGCATTGTTCAATCAGCTTTGTACAGAAAATATCATAACTGTCGTTTAATTGTTTGTCGAATCTCCTGAAAAATTGCCCCGTTTATTGCCAGCCCAGGGCCACTTTCATAAGAGTTTGAGACATTTGGCACAAATAAGCTGTGCTTCTGGAGACAGATAAGAGCGAGGTTAAAGGGGCAGGCTTTGGGAGGGGTGATTGATCATTAATTGTACACAAAGGGACGCAGAGCTCTTTGAAAGATTTTTCCCTGGGGGAATAGGAGGAGGAGGAGGAGGGGCACTGGGGGAAGTGTTTGCAGAAGACAGAGGGACCCCCCTCCTCCTCCTCCCCCCTTCCTTCCTTGGAGAGAGGCCTCTCAAACACCCAGCTGCAAGGGACACAGATCAGCAAAGGACTACTGCAAGGAGTTGGCTGGGACGGAGGGTCAGGGTGTGACATAGAAGGGAGGGCTGGTTGAAGGTGAGAGAAAGTTTCCTTGGTGCGATGAGTGAAGCCTTGAAAGAGCGTTAAAAGGACAGAAAACAGGGAAAAAGAAAGTGCCTAAGACTGGAGGGTGAAAAGAGAGCATGCAGAAAGTTGGCACACACCTGGCAGCAAGCAATGCAACTAGATAGGCAAATTTAGACAACTGGCAATGGTCTATGAGCTTGCAATCAAGCGATGTGTCCTTCACCCTGGGACATCAAGAGCTACAACTTGACTTCAGAAACTGAGGACTGCAGGAGGACAGTGGACCTTAACTTCAGAATCATTGGGGGATTATTAGTTTCTACGGTGCTTATCGCGAAGGGTAGCCAGGAGTTCTTGGCCAAGCAACCGGACAGAACCGAAGATGTTGGACCGAGGATCAGTATTTGTTTGGGAATGGCAGGATGAAACTTCGCTCTGGAGACCCTACAGCCCACAGGTGGCTTATTACATCGAGCAGGTGGTGAGGGAAACCCCCAAGTCCAACTCGGTGAGCCTGGGAGAGGCTGATGCCAGTCTCACCCCCTACATCCTGGATCTCATTTCTATGAACCAATTCCGCCTGGATACAGGTGAGTCATCCTCAATAGCCTTGTGTGTGCCTGCCCTGACAAGGGTAGTGCTTCCAGTGAAGAGAGTGATGGTGGGTGGGCCAGCAGGTGCAGGTTGACAGGCTATGATGTGTGGAAGGACAGGTGCAATGTACTAATCTCGGGAAGAACAGCAGTTTAATTTTAGACACTCGAGTACATCCAGTGCACTAACTTTGCAGTTATTAAGATGTGCAGAGCTTAAGGAAATCTAAGAACAAAAATTTAATATATTGAAGCTTACCTGTCATTAGATATGTTGGCTGTATTCATTTTCTTTTTTCATGCTTTTTTAAATAAATTTTTGCCTGGTAAACCTGCCAGTGACACACTCCCTGTCCTAGGCTGACAACACCAACCTACTGTACTGTAACAGCGAGGAAGTAAGGTTGTCACCTCAGGACAAGAAGTGTTTTAGAACTGCAGAACACATGCCCCTTTCCTCATTTCAATGCACAGGGGAGACAGTATTCCACCAAAGGTATCTGGAAGAACGGATAACATGGTGTGAGACTTCAGTTTAGTACACAGTGAGATGTACCTTAACAGTGATCGCCAGATCTAGGGAGCATCTTATCCCTCACAAAGATTTTCCAGCTCTTTGAACAATATCTGTGCCGAATGGGCAAATATTCCCTTTTCTTTGTAGAATCTAGAATTAACCTTTTACTGTGTTGTGGTGGCTATAAGTAGTCTGAAGTTGAGATGAAGACATGAAAAAGTACCACTATCCAAAGCTGGGCCACTTATATTCAACAGATTGCCTCTGATTAGTGAGATTGCTTACACCTACCAACCACTGTGCAATGTGAGGACCTGTCTAAAAAATCCATCCATGTTAAATCCAGTTGGGTAGACTCCTATGCTAAATAGCTGTTACATTTTGTTAATGTAAAAGATCACATCTGACACAAGATCTGGATGTGTGTGGGTAGTATAAGTGTATATACATGAAGTGTTTATCACTGCAAAATCCACTGCAGATGTCACCTGGCTAGCGGTGTCTGATTCACTGTCTTATATCTGTTGGGAGTTTGAAAGCACCCATCTATAGATATAAAAAGGTCTGTAGATACGGATGGTCTTGATCCTGTTTGGTGTCTGTCTAGGTATTTATGGCTGTTTATGTGTGCAAAAGTCAAATGAGAAAAAAATAACAAAAGAGTTGAATGCTTTGCCAATCCCAAGATCCTAAGAAAAGCTGTAGTAGAGATTGTGCTTTAGCAATACTAGGAGGTGATAATGAATGCTTCTGAGGTATTATCTCACAGACAGGATTTCCAGCTTGCTTGAAAATCCTTATTTATCCTGACTAATCCTTGCTCTTTGAGGACTAGGAGGTGTTACCCAAAGTTTATTGTAACCCTAGAACAGCGTTTCTCAACCTTTTTTCAGTCATGGCACCCTTTTAAAAGTATGGAAAATCTCAAGGCACCCTAGTTTAAATGTCATAGATTTTAAGAGTGACCCCTATGCAAAAACACTTAAAAAAGTAGGTTTCCTCCTTCACATAATAGTGCCCCCTTCAAATCAAGATTTTCCCCTTGACATCAGAGTCACCCTTTGCATCAGTAGCCTACGTTCACATCAGGAGCCCCCCTTTCGCTTTAGAAGCCCCTCTTTCATATGAGTCCCCCCTTTCACATCAGATGTCCCCCTCACCTCAGTCTTCACCCCCCCCCCCCCCTACACATCACAATCCCACTACCACAAAATGTTGAGGCACCCCTGATGAAGCCAGAAGGCACACTGGGTGCCATGGCACCCTGGTTGAGAAATGCTGCAGTACACTATTCCTACAACTCTCCTAACCTAATCAGCAAAAATCACCTGACTACCGCTCTAGGCTCTATCCCACTCGGGTCTTGGAGACTTATTGTGGCGCAGGGTGGGATCTGTTTGCAATATGTGCTACTGATTGGCTTAATCTGGCAGGGGCAGCCAATCAGTAGGCACTACTTGGTCCTAGATTTCACCCCCACGCTGCGACCAAGCACCAGATGCAACCCCCTAACCAGAAATAAAGGGAGCTCCGAGCTGCTCTCAGGTAAGGGTAAGAGAAGCTTTTTGTTTTTTCATTTTATGCATAAAAGGTTATAAAGGGGGAGTCCGTTCTTTAGTTTGTTTCAGGCCTACTTGAACAGATCCTTCACCGCTCCAGTCTATCAATTGATTTGCACAAGCTACAGCAGCAAGTCCCAACGCTGCTGACAAAGAGCAGATGTCCCACTACTCATCAATATGAAGCAGATATCTGCAGCCCTTTGTCCATCTTAAAGAATGCTACCCTTCAACATATGACTACTGTATACTGTATGTTCAATGGTGCATCCTTAAAGATATTATATTTTAACCTTTGCATGCTCAGACATATTGTGGGTTAAACTATGTATGCTCAGATATATTGTTATATAATATATATGTATATACTCAGGGAATTAGGCATATCAGAAGGTATCTTCACTAAAGATGGTCATAAACTGTTAGAATGTTCACTGATTCCTGTGAACCAGCCAAAATTTTAACTATGAGTAGCTGGACAGAAAAATGTTGGCCTTTCAATGACTTCACCCAATCAGCTGCAATCACTATTCAGATTTTCTGACAGTCGCAGGCACTGGCTGTCAGAATACAATACCTGCGGGCTGAATGAATCAAAACTACAGTATGTAAATGGCCAGCATAACGCATTCCTGCTTTTATGTGTGACTGATTCTCTCTGGTATATGCTTGCAACACTCCACAGAAAATATGCACAAACATCTGATTGTCATCGCCAGTTTCATATGCTCTGCCCTATGCATGTGGACCTTGGGAAAAGTAATTGGAGAGTTTGCAAAAGAGTGTAGATCAGAATTCTGTAATCCGATTTACAAGGAGTGGCAACGTATTGATTAAGTGGCAGGTTTACTATCTCACCATTAGGTGGAAAAATTTCCAGCTGCCTTTTTGGAATCAAATCTCTGTCACTCTTTTCTTCACAACTCAACATCATTTAAGTCTGTTGTATGGATCAGTGTATATATAAATGTGCTTTTCAACTATTAACAGCATTTACTGTATGTTGTTCTTATCTCAGCATCTGCCCTGCATGTACCTTGCTTATCTTGAAAGAAAAATGCAGAAGATGCTTATGGAAAATAGTGTTCCCTGCAAAGTTCTTAAAGACCATCTTTATAGGGGCACACACAGAGATGGACAACTGGGGTCAGTCAGACCCATGCCTGCATGATTGGCTTTTCTGAACTGTCTATGGCCACCTTTAGATGTATCAGAAATGTTGTAACACCCCCCCCAATGCTACCTGTGCTCAAACGGGTCTACTCTTCCATGCTGGCGCAGTCGTTTCCTCGGAATGTCCCGTAATGTTGGGAATGTGTTCCAGAAGGCATTGAGGCTTTCACATACAAGAATCATGGATGTATTGTGTTTGATTACAATGTTCTGTCATATGATGGAAAATTTTATATCATTCATATGATGTATGAATTAGATTTTTCTAAATTTTTTAGACCAATGCATGCATGTGTACTTTTACTGCTCTCAGTCACCTTCCCCAGTGGTTTGATCATAGTTTATACTTGGCTGTGACCCCAATCCTGCACAGCCTACCTGGAACCCCCTCAGCCTTTCTCCTAAACTTGTGAAATAGTACAGTGCCAGCTGTACCGTGTACATGCACCTGTACATTTGCTTAATCTGAGTCTGTCCATCTGGTGATGCTCCAGCAAACTGAAGTCTGCAGTGCAAAAGCAGGTAGTACCATTCAAAATTTTAAAGAGTTCAAGAAAAAGGTTGCGCAAATCCCTGTAGGCCTTGCAGCAAGGATCTCATGGGGTTACAGGTAATCTTGCACTATGACCAAACTCCTAGGGTAGAGAAGGAAAGCAATAAGGGATATGTACACTTATCATTTTAGACTGGTATATCATGTGTGTAGGTAGTCTAAAGATGCCCATATACATTGGTACCTGTTAATCTATCTGTTGGTCATATTAGAAAATCTGTTCTCAGGACTGGATTTAACATTAGGATCAGTAGGCCTGTGCCTATAGGTGACAGGAGTAAAGGAGCAGCTTTTCCTTGCATCTATATTTTCCCATGTAATAGAAATACACTTATCACATATATAAACCTATTTACAAACTGACACTCTATTCTAAATCTGGCCATGCACTGCTCAAATGTCCACTGTCTCAGGCCAAATTCGAGCAGTGGGTGGCCCAGTCAGCACCACTCCATTCAACAAAAGACGCAAGCCCAACAGTGTCTGCTTATGCACCTCCCCTGTCTGTCTATGAATACATGAACATGAATGCTCAGCATACTACATCTATGGCTTTTTAATTGTAGCCATAAATAGGCCTATATCTGCCTAAAGCTGGCTATACGCATTAGTTAGATTTTCTAATAGTTAATGGGGTCAAATCGATGATCATTTTCAACTGTAGTGATAAATAAAATGGAAGAAGCAGAATGGAAAATTGTTCTTAAACTAACACAATTCAAACAGTAAATGTGGTTTTCATTTAAGAAACTCCATTCATTCCAAAATAGAATGTTTACATGAAATGAAATTTGGAATGACATTCTACAAGTCTCTAATGTCATTATCAAATGTTCTGTTGAGAGTTTTCATATGAATCCTTGTACAAAATGTACCAGTGTATGACCAGCTGATAGGTAAGGAGAAATGTTCCCTTCCCTTCCCAACTGATTTCAGCACCTAAACCTGCAGCGTCTGACAGCAGTGCGTAAGTGGTCTTTCTCGTTCTATTACAGGGTTATTCACAAAAAGGTGAAGAGTTTTTAGAGAAGGTAGGAGAAGAGAACACTCTAGGACAACATAGCTGAACTGGAAAGTGAGCTGAATTGGAGAATTTTTCCAAATTGCCTATTTTGTCCTAGATTGTTCAGTTTTCTATAGGATAGGGATTGACTCATAGATCCTAATAGATCTCCCAACAAGCTAGAAAATCTCC